GGCCAGGTCCAGGCGGCGGCGCAGACGGCGGCGGCGACGCGTCTGGCGGTTCATCTGCGACATGCTGTTGAAGTAGATGAGGTAGCAGAAGCCCAGCGACGAGAGATCGAGCCACGGGTGCTGCTTCTCGTAGGCGTTCTGGATGGTGATGCAGATGTCCATGTCGTAGGCCGTCCACGCGCCGCCGTCGTTCTCCCACTCCCACACGATGCCCTTGCCCGGCGCCGACGACGGGTCGTAGAAGTTGCGCCGCACGGGCCGCATGGTGCCTGTGGGGAGCCGGGAGGGGCGTCAGGGCCGGATGAGAGCGGTGGGCAGCAGGGGCCGGGGAGAATCAAGACCGAGGACGAAAGCTCCACACAGGCCTGGGGGACCAGGGTGTCCGCACAGGGTGGAGGGTAGGGGTCCCCAGGAGCAGCGGGTTCAGCCAATAATGGGGTACAGAGGTCAGCAGATGGGGGACTGGGCGGGAAAGCCAGGAAGGCGGTGGAGCCAATGTGGGGTATCCGCGAGGCTGCTGGGCCGGGGAGAGTCACCCCAGCCCAGGGTCCCACCTGGAGAAGGGGGCAGGGGGCGGGGCCTGCTCAGGGGAGGGGCTGGGGAGTGGTGACGGGTTTGTTCACGAATTCACTGCCACATTCAAGAATCTATCAATCAGTCCACCGGTTCGTTAGCCCGTCACTCATTTTTTCCGAAACTCGTTCATCCATTCATTTCTCCACGCCTCCAATCTCACACCCGTCCACTGCTTCCTTCTTCCACTCGCCCGTTCACACCTGCAGTCGTGAGCTCCGCGTCTCACACCCGCGTCAGTTCCCACCCTTAGCTCGCTGCTTCGTTCACGTGTATCACGCCCACGTGATCATCCTTCTCCCTGCCCCTCTCCAGCTGATACACTTTCCACGTTACAGTTTACGTGGCTCTGGGTCTCCTCCTGCTACAGTGTAACAGCTACAAGGGTGGGGACGTGTTTCATTTACTGCTGTAGCCCCAGCACCTGCCCACAGGACGCACTGCCTGAATGACTGAGTTCCCACACCGACCCATTTGGGGTTGGGTTATTCTATTCCTCCAACCTGTTGCTCCCTTCCTCCCTGCGCTTAATTGTTTTTTTCATTCATCTCTTTGTTCATGGGTTTCTCCTTCCACAAACGCTTGCTGACAGCCTGCTCTGTGGAAGGCTCCCCGCTCAGTGCTCATTCCAAATGCCCACAACAACCGCAGGGAAGTCGTCCAAGTGGGTACGCCCCGTTCTCCCTGCTGCTGCTGCTTGTTTGCCCAAGCTGTAGATGCTCTGAGAGCAAGGCTTCCCGGGGACCCCAAGTTATCTGGTGAGAAGCCAGAACAGGTCCAGGCTGCTGGGCCCCTCTGAGCCTTCAGCTGGCGCTAGCTGTGGGGCTGACGCACAGAAATGCTTTGCTGGGTTCATTCACACAGCTGCAGAAAAGTGGCCTTGGACAAGCCCCTGAGCTCCCAGGCTGCAGGGAGCCATGTGGAAAATGTGGGTGAATCTGATCCACAGTCAGGGCTGTGGGGAGGGCTCCGAGTGAGGACCAGGGCTGGGAAGGCGGCAGACAGACCCCAGCCAAGCCTGGATCCCTGACTTTCCAGCTCTAAGACTGTGGTCAGACTACTCAGTGTCCATTAGCATCACTTTTCTCCTCTCCTGAGCAGAACTTCCCTATTGGGGTGTGGAGAGGAGGATCCCCAAATCTACCCCCCTCCAGCTGCCTCTTCGCCCGAGAGCCAGGTGCTGCCCCGTGAAGCACCAACAGCTCTCCCGAACCCAGCTCAGCTGGGGCAGGGCCCGTTGTCCTGCTGCTGGGACCAGCTCCACTCAAGTCTCCCCATTCTGCTGTCCTGGCTCAGACCTGCGAACGCTGATGCACCCTGGACCTCATGCCGAAGCCCAGTCTGGCCGCAAACTGAGCCACCTCCACCTTCAGACGTACCCGCGGGCCCATCTCCCCCACCCGTTTGGACCCCTGCAGTTGACGTGACTCCTTTCAGCCACAGCCCTTGCCCCACAGCACATCCCCACATGGCAGCCAGGGGTCCTGCCCAGCCCCTTTCCTCACACCCTTCCTTTACTTGAAACCCTCTGTGGCTCCCTCTCACTTGGAGTGAAAGCCAAAGTCCTCTCAGTGACTCATGAAACCCCACGCTGTGTGGCCGATCACCTTCCTTCAGTGATCACCGCTGCCCTGTCACTCATTGTACTCCAGCCACTCCAGCCTCCCTGCTGTTCTCTGAACATCTCAAACACTGTGCAGTCCCAGGGCCTTTGCACTAGCTGTGCTTTCTGCCTGGAATATGACTTACCACACCCAGATGTTCTTAGAGTTCTTCCTCCTTTCAGGTTTATGTTCAAACGTGGCTTTTTTGGGAACATCTCCCCAGACCAATCCTCTAAATCACCTGCCTCCCTTCTGCTGCAGTGCCATCCTGTAGTATTTTTCTCCCAGACACTGACACCGCCTTTCACATCTGAATCCACAGGCTTTCTATTCTCAGTCTCCTCACTCTTATCTGCTTGCTGACTGCATACAGTAGACCCTCAAGTGCACCGCCTTGGCTTCTGGATGGGGGAACCCAGCCTGGCCCTGTGGGGGGCCCAGCTCACCTGCCTGCCTCTCTCTCCTGACCACAGACCATGCCTGGCTGCGCCCACCGTATCCCCACTCAGGGCGGAACAAGCTGTCAGAAAGCCAAGGGCCACAGACTACTGTGCCCCCTGCCCACAACCCAGACCCTGACCACAGCCCCAGCTGTTTGT